GAACACTGAACCTGGACTTCTGACCAATATGAATGAACAGTTTGCTTGCAGACCCGCTCCCCAAAATCTATCGTAGATCGAGCTGACATCTACAGACCCGCTACTCTGTTTTTTTTTTATTTGACAGAATAGCTGACATCTACAGGAGACTTAACAAGCCTGAGTGTTGAGAAGTTAATAGCATAACAAGTTTGGTCAGATGTCCATGAATAATCAGGTGTGGTTGGTACTTGATGCCTTGTTAAGGCCTTAAGGGAGAGAAGCCCAAGACGAAGGATGTTTTGTGAGGTTTTGTTAGTGATTACTTATGTTGTGAGTGCAATTGTTTCAGATTGCAGGGAGTATTGAAATTTGGTCTACTTTGACGGGACTATGGCTGCTTAGATATAGTGATTGAGTATTTGGATATTATTGGGTACTTTGCATGAAAACCAGTAATTTGAATAGCTTCAAGCAATGTTGCTTTCAAGAATTTCAATTATGTGGACACCCATATATGTTGTCATATACGAGTCAGGAGCAGTACGCATTGTCCAAAGTATATTCTTGTATTGTACCTTTTACTACGAGTAGCTGCACCGAATCTTTCCCTTCCATTTTTTTTACTTATGCAAATAGATAAGCACTACCCCAGAACACACTGAACTAATTATAGCCACGAAACGGCAGTGATAGTTCACGTATCACTACGGGTTCGTGACTTGAACCACTAATGATAGGTTGTTTTTCACAAAAAAACAATCATAACTTTTCATATGAGGTTGGATCAAGACAGACTTTATGTCAAAACTGTAGAGTTCATATAGATGTAAAAAACTTGTATTTGACAACTTTTTATTTGAGATGATTTACACGTCGAAATGTTCAATATAAGTTCTTGGATCCGATTTGAGATGGTTAACAGTGTCAAACGGAGACAAAGTCAACATTAAAATTGTATTGCTCGATGGGATCTACAACTTTACAGTAACAACTTTTGTATTTGAGATCATTTGTGGAGTGTCAAATATACAATATAAGATTTGAAATTGTGTAGTTAAAAAATTGCATCAATTGAATAATCACATGTGTTGTGTAACTTAACTGGTATGGATGTTCTAGAAAATATGAATGTTGAGGTCTCGAGTTTAAATCTTGAAAACACATATTGTCTGATCACTGCCAGGTCTAATAGTGAAGGAAATATTTTTTTTTTTTGTCACCGACACACACTTTGTCGGTTTGTCCATCTAGATGTGGCCATCTCCCGTTATTTGGTGATCAGGTACACAAACGTGAAATCGATGCTATATTATAGGAGAATCACGTGAAAGCTAGTATACTATTACATAGTTGTTGAGGGGCGCATCCATCGAATATTTTTCTGCACTGTAGCTTCTGGACCGCCTGTCCCTATAAATCACATTTTAAGTAACACGGTGACCCACATGTCCAGCCGCCCTGCAATCGGTAGTTGACAGCGTAACAAGCGTTGCATGTGCATTCATCTGGGCATCTGGCAAACTGCACAAAAGTCTTACGTAATCTTGAAATGTGTTCAAAAGCTTAGCTATTGATGAAGAGCTAGCTTTTCTCTCGTATTAAAATATGAAAATAAATACTTAGAGCTAGCTTAAAAAGTCGATTGTTGGAGCTGCCCTAAGGTATAGATGTGGGCACCTTTAGTGTGCCCTTTTAGAGATGCCATAATGTATATCCTTTACATTTGATTAAGTGTTATGTACAAAGGCGGGCCTTGGGTTCTCCTGGCAAACTGCACAAGCGGTAGCTTACCTAGTCCGCCTATGTTAATTTAAGTGCTATGTCTGTGCAAATCATTTTGCAGTAGTGGCAGAAATTTGTGCAACCTACGTTTAACTAATTATTTGTATGAACTGGTATAATTTTCTTCATTTAGGCAACAGTCAAGGGTTAAAAGCCTTATGACTAGCTGAACTACACAAGGGCGCACCTTAAGTATGTAGATACAACTTGTTTTGACCTCCGTACTTGCTTTATGGATGTATAATTTGATGGTGTATTCCTTCTACTTGTTGCTCTGTTGATCCTTTCTTGCGCATTCCTTGTAATATTCTCCTTTGGGTGTAAGATATAAGCCTGCACCTCACGTATAAATACTTGATTCTTCTTAGATCACTGCCCTTTTCAGTTTCGCTAGCACTAGTTCTTCTCAATTTACAAACAAATAAGGACACATTTTCTTTTTTTTTTCTCACGCTTATACATTCTCTTCATCTAGATCTAGATCGAGCCAACTCCCAAAATATCCTCATTCATGGTGAACATATTAGAGAAGAATAAATATAAAACATGCAATGAAGGCTATATAAATATTTGCTTGCATCATGGAGTACACGTCATTGCATTGTCTACGGCAGGAGGGGAAGTGCACATATAGACATCTTTTTTGCATCTTGTCGCCGTCCCATCCTCCATCCACTGGCGTCCAAGAAAAGCGTTTTCATGCAACCAAGATTCTCTCCTGCTGTGGTCCGGAACATGCACGTCGTTTTCATTGTCTCAAGGTTGGTCACTGGCCTGTTCGTTTGATTTGACACGTGTATGATCGCACTAATTCATGTTGATAGAGGTACTTACGGTGTTTCACTAGTGCAATGAAATATAGCGTGAGCATCAGGCTCCTTTTGTGTGCCGAGGCCGGTGGAAACAAATTGGTCGCATATCATCTCAACTGACACTTAGCTTGAAACGAACAACCATGGTTGGTCATGGATTATTTTAGTCCATCATTGCCATTGACATAAATACATTAAATATTTATTAGTTTCACAGGTTAATAGTTTCGTTTGTGCAGCACAAGAAGATGAAGCTGCCAGCATGTTCTGAAATATGCATATGTTCTTGACTATCGTCTGAAGAAAGCACTAGCTACATGGAAAACAGACGATCAGATCATCGGCGGGCCTATGGATGGGCTCTGGTGGGCTTGTCCACAGATTTTTTTTTTTTTGTCTTTCCTAATTCATTTTTTCGCAGACGGGCGTTCCGTGACGCCTCTGTAAAGCCGCATTCAGCAGGCCTTTTGGCAGAGGCGGACGCTTTGCCTGCCTCATAAAATCCAAAATGCCCGCTTGGGAAAAGAATATTGTAGTAGTGTAGTTTTCAAATAGTTTCACAGGTGAAGCTCTAAAACATATTCTCTTAGCAGCTTCTCCTAGCTTTCACCTGCACCAATGGCCCAGCGTGGGCAGAGGTCGGATTTGACCTCACACACTATGGAGGGTGGGCTCGGCTGCCACCGGGGTGCACGAGCACACGAGCACACATGACCGGAGATGACGACGTCGGCGGGGTGCATGGGTGCCGGGGCTGGGCGGGTACGTGTGATGGAATGTGGGGATAACAACGAAGAAGTAGAAATTGGAGAGGAGGAAAAAAGAGAAATAGAAGGGCATTATGGCTATTTAAGTATTTTTGTCTACCATGAGGGGTTGATTTGCTAAATGTTTTACTAAAAAATATCTTTAAAACTGAAGCAAAAAAACTGGTCCACTAGTGAAGCAGATCTGTGACAACCAGGCATGGGATTTAGGAGCGTTTGCTGTGGTTCATTGGGGTGGTTCAATTTGTAAGCAACTGTTTCATGACTATTTTCTCTATCCATGACTTTCAAAACAAATTGTAGAAAATTAAAAATGTAGTAGCTCCAATGCCAGAGATTATCTGTTTGGATTGGCTGTCTAAACTGACCAAGCTGATGGCTAATTTCGTACTAACAACTCTTAAACGAATGCCACACAACTCCATGGGACACTGAATCTGTACTTAGAGAAGTTGATACCTTTATTTCAAGTACAAGCGTTGCCGTGATGCCTTCAATGAATACTATGGCCGCGCAACCACATGTTAAAACGACAAGCCAACAGCTGCTTCGATTTTTTAGTGTTTACTGATGTAATCAGAATGTCATTTAGATCCTCTGCTCAGCTCAGAAAGTGTGTTTTTTAAAGTTTCAAAGCATTTGAAACAAGGTGTGATAATGTCAGCATTTTCATTCACTCGCTTTCTTTTTGCTTCCCCATGAAACCAACAGGGCTCACGCACTCAGTCCACTTGCTTTGTCTTTACTGTCCGAGCTGGTGAATTACATAGAGAAGATGATACCTTAAGTACAGAAAATAAGTTGTCGCGAATCGCGATGCCCTCAACAGATTCTTGGCGCGCGCAATCTTGCAAAGGTCAACTGATCCTGTTTTGACCTGTTTACATATATAGAGACCAGGTCTACAAAATCTATATATCCTAGCAGTTCGGAAACAACCCCATCCCATGCCACACCCAGTTCTGAACGTTGCTGTCAAAGGGCGGTTGGAGATAGCAGCCCTTGGGATTTACATACTGATCTTGTACTCCAGATTCAAAGGCCCATCCATTATTCTCCTGCTGCTTGCGAATCCTGGTCGTTACCATGCTTCCAACCTGATTGGTAGTGTGCTGTTGCTCTGGAGGAACAGATCAGCGTACTAGTTCCTCCAGCTACAACGGAGAAGCTGCATTCTTGAGCCATTATTGTCAATTTGAGGGAGCTGGCGGCAGCAGTGGCGATGTTCAGAATGGGAGAGGGTAAAAGGGGAAGAAGGAAGATGGAGCGGCGAAGTGGGAGGGACGGGGAACCATAGGGGGGTTAACAGCAAAAGATAACCCAAAAAGATAATGGACCTATGATGCATGAGTCTCTTTTATTATTTTTCGAATATAGAAAACAAGCTATAAAAGCACCTATAAGACCATGTCCAGTTTCAACAGTTGAAGGGCGTCTGGTACGGAATTTCATATAAATTGTAGCTTGAGAAATTCTCTATAGCCTTGATAATAGAGCTATCTGCGTACATAGGAGGGCCATACTGTCCATAGTGCTTTGCCTCTCCTATAAATAAGAATGAAATCCTGTCATCTTGAGCAAATGCAGCCACTCGATCCTCATCTCTGCCTTGAGCCGCTTGCCTGCTCGTCATCTCGTCCAAGGAAGGAAGAGACCGATGGCTTCTCTGCCAGCCACGGGTGGTGCTGCAGGTGGCGATTCAGACCAGGTAATTCCCAGTTCGTTCACTCTGCGTGGAGACCATGTGCTGCTCTTCTCCTCCGCTTCTGCTCCCATTACTTCACCTGCTGCTTCTGCCTCTGCTGCCACCACAGCCCACAGCACGAACCCGTCCCCATCCATTGCAGGCCAAAAGGCCACCAGACGCCCAGTTTTTTCTAATACAGTGTTTCCATGAATGAAGGTGGTGTTTGGTTCATTTTTCCAAACTTCACTTTGGATAAGTTTTGACCAAGTTAGCAGGTGTTTAGTCAGCAATTAAACTTAGCCAACTGGTTTTGACCAAATTTTGTAGTAGGGATCAGGAGGTGTGAGCCCCTACTGGTTATATATAAAAAGTAGGGAAAAGAAGGATCCGAGTTTACAAAGTTAGAAAACAAAGAAGCTAACCAAAAATTAAAACTGAGCTTTTTATCCATTGAGTTATTATTTGGATGAAATAATTAATTCGGCTTAATCTCTTGTAACCAAGAGAATCAAACCATTTATTACATAAGTTGAGCAACACATGTGCTCATCAAGCACACTGAAATATCAATCCTAGCATTATTTGGCCATTAAAAAGAAGTAAAGAATCGCACTGCCGCCATTTCTAACGTCTGACAAACTTGGGAGCTGGAATCCTTGGTTTCATCACACATTTGCAATTGTGCCCAATGTTATAGTCCTTTGAGTAAAAAACCTGGAAAAGAGATTTGGGTTGGCATTTATCAAAACCATATTATTTCTTACTAACCATATGTCCAACAAATGACTGCACCACCTATCAATAACAATGTCTTATTTGATCCACCTTTTTGTTTGTGCCAATCATGAAGTATATCCATTCATTCAAAGTGGGTTTGAGACCCAAAACAAAGTGTATCGCCCGCCACTGGAACTTAGCATACAAACACTCGAAGAAGAGGTGTTCAATAGTTTCATCCCTACTACAAAACACACAAGATTTGCTCCCATTCTGATTCCTCTTTCATAAATTGTCTTTAGTTAAAATCACCCCCTCTTGATGAGTCACAACAAAATTAATTTTCAGTGGTATATTTTAACGCCAAATATCCTGCAAGACTTTATAATGCCCGTATCGACAAGGTATTTACGCCGTGTTTAGTTGTAGGAAGTTGGAATTTGGGGCTACTGTAGCACGTTCGTTTTTATTTGGCAATTAGTGTTCAAACATGGACTAATTAGGCTCAAAACGTTCGTCTCGCAATTTCCTACCAAACTGTGCAATTAGTTTTTTTTTCGTCTACATTTAATGCTCCATGCACAGGCCGCAAACATTCGATGTGACAGTAATCTTTGTAGCACTTTTTGGGATTTTGGGGTGGAACTGAACACGGCGCTTATACATGGAATTTACTGTGAGCTCGCCACTATTTTTTTTAATGAGGAAGAACCTATCTTGTCCAACTTGTATGTTAAGGTTTGCGACTCTTGCTACAAAGTTATTCCACTCAACCAACTTAATTCCGACTAAAGCCCTTCTGAAGGAAACATTTAGAGGAACTACGTCTAGAAACATTTAGAGGAACTACGTCTAGAAACATTTAGAGGAACTACGTCTAGAGGATGTGCAACCAACCAGATATCTTTCTGAAACCTCATTTCAGTACCATATCCTAATTTGAATTTCCCTAAGCTCATGGATTGATCTTTCACTCCCAATGATCCATCCGAAAATGAGAATCATCAGGTTGTTGTAACCCGTGACAATGTTTAGTCTTTAATGTAACTTATTTATTTCTTAGCAGCTCCTGCCAAATACCATCTTCATTGGTCAATTTGAAAAGCCATTTGTTTAACCTAGCATTTATTCTATAAATTCAGGTTCTGTATACCAAACCTCCATGTTCCTTTGGTTGGCAGATAACAGACCACTTAGCAAGTCTATTTTTTCAGTTGATCATAGTACCAAAAAAACAACAATCTAAAATACTCTATTTCCTTTAGAACACTTCTTGGGATGTCAAAGAAAGAAATCATGAACATGTGTAGGCTAAACAAGACTGAACTAATCAGGACTAACCTTCCACCCAACGACAGTAATTTTCCTTTGCATCTACATAATCCCTTCTTAAATTCTTTCTTCAATTAATTTTCAGTCCTTATTGTTGAGTTTCTATAGTGTACTGGTATTCCTATGTATCAGAAGAGATAAGTACCTATTTTCGAACAAATAATTGAGAATATTGTGTGTCACACAACTTGGACTGCCGAAATACATTATTTCAGTTTTGTGAAAATTTGTCTTTAGATTTGATATTGTTCAAATGTGAAGAGCAATAACTTCATATTCATAGCTTGTGCAATATCATGGTGTAGTAATAAAATAGTGTCATCTGCGTATTGCGAGATAAGTAAACCATCATATTTAACGTGAAGTACGATCCCACAAATTTGACCACATTCCTTGGCCCTAGCCATGGATGACAACCAACATATCCATCACTATATTAAAAAAATAGGAGATAGTGGGCCACCATGCCTTAAACCTTTCTTTTTGGAAGATGAGTGGAAAATATTTGGTTTCCGTACATTGGATAACCAATGTGAACTCCTGCTTGGAGATCATCCGACATCTCTATTGGCTTTGTGGGATTTGATGGAAAATGAATTCATTCCTTGACATCCAAATACTCCAGCACATAAACGTAGCCAATGTTCTTTTGGGCTCCACATGTCATAGAGTAAAAAAGGTATGGCAATATTCTCTTAGACATGGAAAACTCTAGCCCCAAATTTTCTGTTCACACTTTTTGTGGCTTGCCACACTTAGCTAAGTTTAGTTGCGGCAAATTAAAGCTAGGAACCAAATAGCCTTGAACTCAATAGAACATTAGGCTGAGAACAATAGTAATGGAAGTTTCTCAGCACGCGTCACTAATGACGTATGCAAAGTGGCATGCATTGTTTAGACTAAGCACTAGTAACTAGATACATCATGTACCTGTAACTAATAATGGCCCCTTAAAAACGATGGTTCAGTGTAGTGTGCTCAATTTTCATTAACAACTGTTTGCTTGTTGGTACCAGAACTGAAAACATTTCCCTGTATCCTCTATTTTCTAGGTTTTGGTAGAAGCACATGGCTCAACACGCACACTTATTTTGAATAGGCCAAATCAGCTTAATGTACTCTCCTCCGCAATGGTATGTTAAGAGTTCACTAGTATTACAGTACCGTGTTTACTTTTAGATTAGTAGGTACAGGATGATTGTTCTATCATGTTGCAGATTAAGGGACTCCTGAGGTGTTTCATTGTTTTTGAGAAAGATGACAGAGTTAAATTGTTGATTATGAAGGTATCTCATAGCACTGTGTTTGTATTGTAATTCAATATTTGAGGTGGTCAGTTGTCTAACTTAGATTATAGATGTCTATTAGGCTTCAGCTCACAGAGCTTTCACATGCTCGGACTTCTCCAAATGAACTAGGAGCCATTGAAACAACTATTTTTGGTTCCACTACCTTCGGCTCTACCGCGCACTGTAGCAAGGAGCTGGAGCCATTTAGAGCCATGCCAAATAGGGCATAAATGTGTGTTTCTCCAATAGAAATTAAAATGCCGCAAAACAGTCGCAGAACATGAGTTGCCCAAGCTAGCATCTCCCAAATAGATAATACACAGAGGTAGAGGTGAAGCATTTTACTCTGTTGCAATTTGAAGCACGTATTGAACTTATGAATTCATAATGATTCTTGTTGCCACGCTAAATCTTGCAAAATATAAAGGGAACAATATTTGAAAATTGAGCTGCTTGTATTCTAGTGATCTAACTTTTCATTCCTTAAAGCATCGTCAGACTCGCTATAGAGTTTACTTTAACTTGCATTTCTTTCTTCATTTCAGTATGTTTCTCATTTCCTTCTATTAGCTAATTTAAATTGATATGATAATAACTATAATTTTATTACCACTGGGAAACCGTCTGTTGATCTCAATGTTTGTCATTGTGTTGAAGCATGACTTGTTTTCAGGGGAAAGGAAGAGCATTTTGTGCTGGAGGTGATGTTACTGAATGTGTCCGGTCTATACATAACGGTAACTACTTTAGAATGTCTCTAAGGTATCTATTGTTCAATGAAGATTTCTTTGCATGTTTCTAACCGTCTTATGTGTGGCCGAACCGCCTAATCTAATGCTCTCTCAAGGGTACTTGTCCTCCATTAGACACTAAGTACCCAAGGGAGTGCACTAAATCATGCCGTTCCGACGAACTCACCCAAAGGGAGAGCTCGAAAATCCACGTTTTTCGTCAAGATCATAAATGAGAAGATCAAGCTTACAACATTCTTAGTCATTTCTTAAATCACTTTATTACAACATCCGAGTACTTAAACAAGTTGAATGCAACAGCAGGATTAAAACTGTTTACATGTAAACGAGTTTATACATTTCAGGTTCACAAGTTTTATCTTGCAGCGGAAAATAACATATGATCAGAGTTACAACGGAAACAAAGATTAATTTAATGACATGGTAAAGCATTAACATAGTGGCCATTTATATACAAGATATGCTAGCAGATTTTACATCTTTTCTTATAAAAACTTTAGTGAGGGTTATAAATAAACACTATGATCGCAGCTTGAAAAGAATTCTCTCTGAGCCCACCGGGAGGTTTCCACACACAAGAGTCAGCTCTAGCATCCACCTGTCACCTGCAACAGGAGGAATAAAACCATGAGTACTTGATTGTACTCAGCAAGACTTACCCGACAGGAGGAAAGTAAAACACTCCAAGGATATGCAAGGCTTATTTGGCATGCTGGTTATTGCATCTATAGGAAGCGTTACTAAACGTGCGTCCTTATGTTCAATTTTATTAGCAGTCATCATTAGTTCATTAACTTACCATTCTATGTAAGCACCTATGCTACTTTCAAGCAGGTGGTAAGCAATCAGAACCATTTTACCATATTTCATATTACAGTTCTTACTACGGTGTTAGACCATAGCCAAGTCGTACTGTCTCACAGAAACGGCGATTCATGAATCAATGTATCCTTGCTGGGTACCTCGAAACACACACCCTGTTTGTACCCCAGGCATAAACGATACCAACCCATTTCACTCCTGTCGAGGGGTCCACATCTCCATCCAAACTTGGACTCCAAGCCCCCACACTTGAGACCCGGTCTCAGTGTGATGCTTAGACCTCCACCTTTCCCCGTCTCCAATCAGTCAGTTCGGAAAGAGCTAGAATCCACGACAAGAGCGCAACGAGCCTTCCCACTCCCATAAGCAAGTATGTGCTCAGGATAATAAGTCTGTGACCTGACTACTATCCACAGCAATGGATGGTCCTCAATCGACACAGGCGGAACAAGTACAATCCAAGATTCGCTCGAATGCCTAACCAAGTCCAGATCTAAAGTACCATTCTGCCTGGTCTCCAATTATCCTCTATATATATTCCATGTGATAGTAATATAACAACAACAATAATATCTTTCCTATCTCTCACGAGTGATAGGTAATCACTCGACTTCTACCGCATCCTATAGCATAGCAATCTACACGATCCTGACATACTAGTAGGACTCATAGGGTAAGGATATATATGCAAGTGGTTTTGATTCAACTCCTTAAAACTTAATTCACAAGCATAAGATAAAGTACAGAATAATAGGGGTTATGCACCGGGGCTTACCTGGGCAAGATATAACCAAGGATTAGCATTCCATCGGGGCGACACGATCACCAAAGCTCCATCTTTTTCTGCTTTTCTGGTCGACTCCATGATCCATCGTTGTCCCTATTATGATATACATAGACGCAACGCAGAAAATGTAATTAACCAACGACAACCGCAACTCTAAGAATACGATTACGCCTCTCACGCTAACGAGCTAGCTTTAACAGCTAATGCACTAGGCTACGTATCCATATTGCTGAATAAGGCGTTATTTCCCAACAAAAGTTTCCGTTATACCATCCCGAGGTGTTTCGGCTTTTCATCGATTTAATATATATATTCGAACTAGGGCTCATTAGCTATCTTAGTAAACTAATTATTATGAAGCTAAAAAAATTACAATGAGCACCTAATAATATTAGGAATTTACTATGAAATTTTTAGAGCCAACACTATCACCAATTTATTACAAAAATTCCTATAAATTTATATCTTAACAATATTAAGCATCTCAATTTAATTAGATAACTCCTGAAAATACTATGTGAACAAGATATACTAGCAGATAACTATGTGAACAAGATATACTAGCAGATAGATCATGATTTAGGAACCTAACAAAATTAGTTTCATAATTTTTGGTTAGCTGCACAAATTTATATTGAATTTATAAGTTTGCCTTAGAAACTAAATTGGAAAATGCTTAGAAAATGAGAAGGGCTGGTGGCAACCAATTCGCCCGGCAACCTTGACCCATGATGGGGAGCCCGTGTCTTTGGCACTTTAGCAAATGAGCCCTCAGACTTTTCCTAAACCGACTAAGTCCTTATACTATTTCTTCCTTTCTCTAGCGAATTCACTTAACCCCTAGATTTTTCCAAATTTTGTCGCTGCACTTTTTGGCCACCCCATGCACTGACGACGCGGCCTTGCGCAATGAAGATGGGCATCCACGCCGGCCACCAGGGGCCTGCGCGGACCCATTTGGCGGGTTGGTCGCCATCTACGGCTAAACGCGCCTAGACCTAGATGGGTGGTAGTTAGGGGCTCGGAGGCACATTAGTGCGAGCTGCAATGGGTGGAAAGCAACTATCGCACAAGCGGCACGCTCGTTCCGATGAGAGAAGAGGACAGAGGGAGAGGAAAAGTGGTGCGCGAGCACCAGTGACATACCACGAGTACAACCAACACATCCGTGAAGTGGAAGAGACCCCATGCGGTCTTTGGCCACGCACGACGACCGAGCTTGATGGCGGTGCTTTCTGCGATGGACACCGACGCGTCACCATGCCATAGATGACCATCTGGCCAAAATAAGCGCGAGCACCGTATGGAGGAGTCAAGGCGAGCTCAGGGTTACGAGCAATCGAACTGCTACCACTCCTACATGCCTTACCTCCCAACCTTCCGATTCGGCGGCGCCCATGACCGGCTACAAGCAAAAGGCCAAATTGTCGCTAGGTAGGGCATGACCGAGCTTGAGGGGGAAGAGACGACTAGCCTACTTCCTAAGCTACCCGCTAGAGCGAGGAATTATACGGCGAAGCCACTGGCGCTAGGAGGAAAGGAGGAGCGGTGGCTCAACATACCATGAGCTCATGGAGAGGGTACACAGCGAACCCCGAGCAAGTTAAGATGGGTGGCTCCGCTCGATGGTGGCAGCAGTACGAGCCTGTGTGTACGGACGACGAGACCTCGAGGCTTGGCACGAAGCGCTCAGAATGGCATGGCCAGACTCGAGCAGGGCTCCCCAGTGTTGGCTAGCAAGGGCAAGTGAGGAAGGGAGGTATCCCATCGCCGCTGTGACCGGGGTAATCGACCTAGATGCGTGGGCGGCGGCACATGCTCGAGAGACTGACGCGAGAGGGTAAAATGAAGGCGAGGCGAGGGACATGACGGCAAGGCAGCGACAGTCATAGCTCCGTCTCGACCATGCCAAGAGCTCGACGGCTAGATGTTGGCGCACTCACACGCGCGGTAGTGGGACCAGACCATGACCAACCGGGTCGGCCAAGCGCAAGGCAGGCGTGATGCGGCATCGGCCTAGTGCACGAGCTAGCCAGCGACCGCAGCTCGGTCATGACGTGAGCCTGGCGCCAACAGCGTTGTGCCCGCGGTGACCGTGAACTCAAACCGAGCGACTACTATTGGTGACATGCACGCATTTTAAAGCGAAGCGAAAGCTACTAAGGATCGCAATTGAGGCCCAACTAATTCGCCTATCCTAAAGTCAACATTATCGGTGACCTAGCAAAGCCATCGCCATGGCTAGAGAGAATTGAGGCCCAACTAATTCCCCTATCCTAAAGTCAACATTACTAGTGACCTAGCAAAGCCATCGGCATGGCCAGAGAGAAGCCAGAGAGGGGGATAGAAGGATGCCAACATGAGCTCGTCGCGCTGAACGCTAGTTCACTAACAGAGCATCAACAACATGGTTACAACACATTCCAACGAAGTTTGGGGAATTTTTAAGAGAGCAACGTGACACCCAACGCAACTACGACCTACCCCATGCCCAAGAGCTTACTTAGATGCAACCAACAATACAAGAATATAAAACTAGTGTTTAAACATTTTAGTTAGAAGTTAAATGCCAAAATGGCATTGCCTACTACTCTTTCAGACTTATAAAAGACAATAGTTCAGTTTGAACTTAACAACCATGAACACTTTTGCCACAATTTTTAAAAGGCCTAATCTTGATTAACTTCAACCAACAAGTACTTCATGCAATAGTCCATACTTTATACTAAACCATAGGAACAAAATATTTAAGCACTATTTAATTACTTTGCTCAATATAACTCACCAAAATAGTACTTTAACATAAGTTCAGACCTTTGCCGACTTAACGAAAAGGTTGATTTTAATACCCAATTTGATTTTTGGAGCTCCCAAGAACATTAGTTAACACATTTATTTTCAAAAATTAAAGTTGCATTTTCATCTACACCACTTGCTCATCATCTTTACATAAGCACTATGCACAAGTTACATTTTATTTTTGTTTATAGAAATTATTTTTCGTACCAAACAATTAAAACTACTTATTTTATTCTTCTTATTAGAATTTTCATTAGCACATTTACGCACTAAGTAAATTAACATAGATATTTATTTGATTTCTCTCAACCATAAAAGTGAGTCGCACAGGGTTTGTTTATCATTTCATGTGTGTTTTAAATTTTTAAAACTCGAGAACTTGTTTTGCTAATTTCTCTTAGGCCTTAACCTAGGTGCTAAGCAAGCTCGTAACACCAGTGGTGTTACATTATGTGACCTGACTCAACACGCATGCTACATGTTTCAAATGGTCTAAGGTTGTTCTACATGTTTTGTTGACTGTGTTGTGTGTATAATTCTTAAATCAGAAAGCTGGAAATGGGGTGCTGATTTCTTCAGAGATCTATATTTGTTAAACTACATGAGTGCAACATATATCAAACCTCAGGTGAGCTGCATCCCTTCACATTAATTCATTCTAATTATTCACTTCTCTGTTCGTTGCCTCTAAATTAAATGCTTAGACAATTTAACTATAGGTTTCTCTTCTTACTGGAATTGTCATGGGTGGAGGTGCTGGTGTTTCTTTACATGGAAGATTTCGAGTTGCCCACTGATAACACGGTATACACTAGAAACCAAAATCAAGTGACATTTTTCTTACGTTGTCACTTTTACTTATCTATTCAAGATAGCCAGTAGTTTTGAAGCACAAAAAGTTGGCGTGTCATGATGCAGCTCGAGATCTGCTTGTTTAAGGTTCTGCTGAATATAAACTTTCAGGCATAGTATTCATCACAAAAAAAGACCCAGGATCACTGCCTTTCACTACCTTTTCTGTTGGATATTACGCCTGAATGTTTAATTGTTTATTGGACTAGATTTCAGTTATGGTGCATATATACTTTCCTTTTTGTGAGCTTGATGAGTGATATTAGTTCTTTTACTTATTTGGAATATTGAGAATCTCGCTTTATTTTTATTAGAAAATCGTAGCATTTTCAAGGGCCAAAATATGGGTCATTTACATTTCAAATATTCCTGCAGGTTTTTGCAATGCCAGAAACAGCTCTTGGTTCCCTTCCAGGTGTAGGGGCCACATATTTTCTGTCTCGGCTTCCTGGCTTCTATGGTTATCTAATATTTATCATTGCAATTTATTTAATGTTTCTATGTATTATTAACAGTACGGAATACTATGCATCCTCGGATTATTCTTTAGTTTGCAGTTTTACAAATGATTTTTAGCAAGTGTGCTAGATTTTTGAGGAAATGATCTATGCAATTATGTAAGTAATTATGAAGATATAATTATATAAAGAAATAAAGAGTGGCCAAGTTTCTTGTATTCTATTTGATTTTTGGTTTCATATTTTGTTAATTACTTGTACTTAGTGAGGTCAGCCTTCTAGTTGGTGGTAAAGGTATCTTGAGAGATACTGTTAACTAAAATGTTATCTTAATTTTTTACAGGCGAGTATGTTGCTCTTGCTGGTGCCAGATTGGATGGTGCTGAAATGCTGGCATGTGGTCTGGCTACTCATTTTGTCCAGTCAAATGTAGGTTCACTTGTAATTTAAAATTTCACTGGGCTGCCAAATTTTGCTTCCGGTTATGATGTTTGCTGTTGTATTTATGGTTATTATTCTTTGGAACATGCTACATAAATCCTGACATTATTCATATATAGCATTCGAATGCTTTCAAATTTATAGGCCTGCATCATTGAAGTCATGTATGTCGTATATTAGTCAACAACTCCTAGTAAATACTCTTTGTTAATTTACCAGAGACTACCATTGCTCCAAGAATCCCTCAAAAAGCTGGACACCTCCAATACTTTTGCCGTGTGTAGTACAATCGATCATTTTGCTCAACAGCCATCATTGAAAGAAAATAGTTCCTTGAATAGGTAAGGGTGTTTCTGATTGAATGACTGAAATATGCCCCACTGATAATGTCACTAATTTTTCAATCTCTGGCGCACTCCAGGTTGGAAATAATCAATAAATGCTTTTCTAAAAGCACAGTTGAAGAAATTATATCCACTCTAGTGAGTTTGTTATAGTAAATATAGGTTTCTATGCGTTCACCTTTTCTGTCTTGACAAATTATTAAATACATATTTATCCTGTCAGGAGCAAGTGGCCTCAAATTTGGCTGATGAATGGGTTGCTAGGACAATCCAGTATTTAAAGAAGGCTTCTCCTACTAGTCTGAAAATCACTCTGAGATCGGTATCCATTAGAAACCACACCCCATATATATAGCTGTGTGCACCAGAATATAGTTGTTTCATTATTTGTTTTGTGCCTTGGAATTCAGATAAGAGAAGGGAGAACACAAACTGTTGGGGAGTGCTTGCATCGGGAATATAGGGTGATTTGCCATCTCATACGTGGTGACTTCAGCCGAGACTTCTATGAGGTAATTAAATATGGACATTATCAACACTGCTATTGTAACAGGCGTGATGGGGGGAGGGGGTGTGGCGGCTATGGAGGTGGTGGCTAGGGCTTAGGGCGTGGGGGAGAGGGGCGGCGCAGGGAGAGGGAGAGAGGAGGCGACGGCAACAGAGGGGAAAGGAGAGGGATAGAGGAAGGAGCAATAGCTCTATTCTTGCTTGATTAGATTGATTACATCCTCCCTATATTTATAGTCCCTATAGGACTTGTATTCCAAGCAACTAAGAGAGATATCCTTATACATTGGATTCTGCTTTCCTAAACAATCCAAACTCTAGTTTTCCTAATTTATTCCTTACTCCTATTTTATGCCTCTAATTTCTTTCGGGCGGCGGGAGGCGCAGAGGTGGCGTTGCTGCCCCTAGGTGCGTGCCCCCTCCTTAGGCCGCAGCCGGCCCGCTTGCTGGTCCGCTGGTTCCGGGCTGGGAGCGTGCTATCGGACATGTTACATCACTCCCCCCCCTCTCTGATCAGCGCGTCCTCGCGCCGAAGTTGTATCCAAGTGCTGACGCATTGGTAGGGTAGGGATGTCCTGGGAGGATGGCTTCGATGCCGGTGATGAGTTGACCTGAATTGGGTCTCGCATTGAGGTTGTCACCGGTGCGTTCTGCGATGAACTCAAGGCGGTAGAGTAAGTTTCCAATGTAGCCGTACAAGAAGTGGGTGTATGGTCTGATCACTCCTCCTGTTGTTTTTGTTATTTGTGGAGCGCCCACGAGCAAGTGGCGCTGGATGGCGGCGTCGGCGGTGAAGTCCTGCATCTCTTGTGACGGTTGCATGAAGTCGTTGTAGCAGTTGGCATTGTTGGGGAGGAGGTAGACGTCCACGTGCCGCCAAATAGTGTCGGTGGAATGTGTGGCCGGTGTTGTCGTCAGGTCCAGCATTTCTCCGAACATGAAGGAGCCCCTATCAAATTCGTTGGGAGATAGTCATTGCAACTCGGAGTTGGGTCGGAGGGCGATGAAGACATTGTCAGCACGGAATATCTGTCATCCCATGTTGTCGAGGAAGATGACCGTAGTAGATGGTACTATGCCCTGCGGCCAGGGGCGTCCCAACAAGATGCCCGTGGGAGTGGCATTCTAGTGGGGGTGCCATTGGTGGTGGGTGGCAGCCGAGAGCTAGGTACCTTATATTTTCTGGATAACCTCGTAGCACAGCTTCAAGCAGGTCTGGAAGTAGTGGTGATGCCGCTGGGATGTAGAGGTGAGCATCGAAGAAGAGCAGGCTTCGGTCAATGGACCAAGCTGGTGCATCCGTCCCGTCGGTGATGGTGAGCGCGATGTGCCGTAGCTCACGTTGTTGCAGTATAGCTTGGCCAAGATTGTTGAAGACGGGCATGTTGGTGTTGATGTAGTCAAGGGCGGTGGGGCATCGAGACCGGCTTGCTCGGTTCATGATGTCGCGAGGCGGTGATGATGCTGTCGTGGGGTGTAGAGAAGCCGTCCACTCCTAGAGTGTCCTAGTGGTGGCCGATGGTGCTGGGAGGGCGAGGATGACCTCGAGGGTGCGCCGGGGCTGCACGTATGGCGTTGAAATAGATGGATCGTCCATTGTGGAAGTAGTGTAGCTCCGTGGTGGAGAAGTCCCAAGTGAAGCACCCAAGGTCCGCCAGCCAGGGCGTGCCGAGGATGACGTCGATATTGTTGTCGATCTCAAAGGGGAAGGTGCCGATCTGGAAGCTCTCCGTGTCAATGCAGAGGGGTACGGAGAAGGCCGCTGCTCGACACGAGACCTCGTTGCCACTACCCAAAAGGATGGTGGTGTGGGTGCGTTGCTCGAGGAGGCCTATAGCTCGGGCGACGTTGATGTCGATGACATTATGCGTGGCTCCTGTGTCGACCAAGATGTGGACGCCGGTGCCCAAGATTGCTCCTGCAAGATACATTGGAGCGGAGCCACGAACCACTGATTGGGTGGTGTTGATCATCATGAGTAAGCTATTGGTGGAGTCCGCAGTGTCATAGTCATTGATGCCGATAATTTCGAAGAGGTTCTTGTACTAGTGGTCGCATGTAAACGGGTCGTCGCAGGTGAAGCAGAGTCCTGAGCGGCGTCATTCCATCACCTCCGCTGAGGTGAGGCGCTTGAGGGGTCATTGAAGATCCGTCGCTGGTGTACCTGGTGTTGTTGTTGGGGATGCTGCCGGGGTCGTCACATCCGAAGGTAGGTTTGAATTGACTACCGCTTCAGAGGTGTTGGTGCGGTTGAAGAGGTGGCTGAACTCCTTCCTCCACTCACTGGTGATGTCGCGGTACATGTTTGGGCGGGGCGGCTTGCTATTGCTGGAGCGAGTATCGTTGTCGGCGAGCTTGGTGGTGGCGAAGATGGATGTGGGGGCGCTGCGTGGTGTCAAGGGCGACGAAGGTGCAATGGCGCCATGCCGCGATGTACTACTGCTGCAGTCCGTGATGGTGGAGGCTCCAATATTGGTCATCGGATCATAGTTGTTGTTGACGATGTAGAACCCGTTGTCCTGAAGGAAGACTCGATTGCTAGGGTTGTTCTTGCCGGAGTTCTCCATAGTTGTGGTTGGGATCGTTCTGGTCTTTGGATACTAGGTGTAACAGGCGTGATGGGGGGAGGGGGTGGCGGCGGCTATGGAGGTGGCGGCTAGGGCTTAGGGGCGGGGGAGAGGGGCGGGCGCATGGAGAGGGAGAGAGGAGGCGGCGACAATAGAGGGGATGGGAGAGGGATAGAGGAAGGAGCAATAGCTCTATTCTTGCTTGATTAGATTGATTATATCCTCCCTATATTTATAGTCCCTATAGGACTTGTATTCCAAGAAACTAAGAGAGATATCCTTATAGATTGGATTCTCCTTTCCTGAACAATCCAAACTCTAGTTTTCCTAATTTATTCCTTACTCCTATTTTATGCCTCTAATTTCTTTCGGGCGGCGGGAGGCACAGAGGGGGCATCGCTGCCCCTAGGCGCGTGCCCCATCCTTGGGCTGCGGCCGGCCTGCTTGCTAGCCCGCTGGTTCCGGGCTGGGAGCATGCTATTGGACGTGTTACAGCTATGTATACTTCATTGCCATTGCACAGAAATATCTCTGTACCTAACATTCAATTCCCATTGCAGGGATGCAGGGCTATACTATTAGATAAAGATCGAAGACCAAAGGTTCATATAATTTCATATTTAGCACATTTGCATCAAATTTTGTTGCTGAGAGCTTATATTATCTGTTACAACCTTTAGAAAATGGTGATTCTTTATTTGGGACTTGCAGTGGATGCCTCCAAATTTGGAACAAGTACATGAGGAGGTAGTTGAAGAATATTTCTCAAGAATTGATGATCCACAGTGGGAAGATTTGAACCTACCCGACAGACGTTCTCATGGAAGAATTATTGAGTCCAAGATTTGATGGGAGTCTTTGGTGATGAGTTTAATGGAGCCTCGGTTGTGGTCAGAATAACAAATCATCTCATCTTTGAAGAGTCTGTGTAGACTGAAGACTACTGTTAAAATAAAACTGAATATGCTGTATAGGTCAACTTATATATTTGTTATTTAATTTGTATGGCTAGACTATCAGCCAACTCATCTCGTTTGGCCACTCGAGCATGCTCATTTTGCTCACGATCCATGGTAATACACTACTAGAGGATAGGCTATCACTGTCGGTTCTTCAATTGAAATTGACAGTTTTAGGTATCTACTGCCGGTTCCAGAAATACCAAGACAAGTAATGATTGGGAACCTCTTGAACCAGCACTAAATATGTTTATCACTACTAGTTTTACCTACTAACCGGTAGCGTTATAGCACTGCCAGTTCCAATAATAAAACATACTAAAAATTAAAATACTGCTGCAGGTTTGTTGCACAACCAGGCTAGTAGTAAAGTTCATTTCAGCCCTCATAATGAATTCGAACCATTAACAGCCCGCATAACCTGCCTCACCATCAAATATCCGATCAGATTGATGGTTGAGATCACCAACCAATGAATACGTAAATCAATCATCACCCTCTCCTCACTGTTGGCCACCCCTGACTCGGGCATTTAACTATTTATCATCCTTTCAGGTGTCCACTAAATACGCATAGATTCAATGTTCTCCTACTAAATTTAACCTAGGACCTTCAAAATTTTGTCTAGTTTGTTTCATAAATGTGCCTCCACCACCATGCAATAGAGGTGAAATAAAAAAACCTAATTAATCAAATAGTCTACCAATAAACCTTCAAAAATATGCTAGGAATAACATTTACTTACATTCACTACCCTAGTTCTCTCACTGTCGGTTCAAAACCCCCCTTCACTGCTGGATTTTGAACCGACAGTAGTATATCGGTAGTGATGGGGGTTCACATCACTGCTGGCTACTACAAACCAATAGTGATATAAAATGTCACTGTCAGTCCCTGGCGCCACCCGACAGTATCCAGTTGAGCCAACACTGCCGGTTTGTGGCTCAAGCCGGTAGTGTTATCTTGACCAACACTGCCGGTATGTGGCTCAAGCCAGCTGTGTTGTCTTGTCCAACACTGCTGGTTCAAGGCTCAAGCCGGCAGTGTTCTCTTTTCCATCGTTGTCGGTTTGTGGCTCAAGCCGACAGTGATGTCTGCAACAACACTGCCGGTTAGTATATCAAGCCGGCAGTGATGTCTTGCACAACACTGCCGGTTTGTAGCTGAAGCCGGCAGTGCTCTCTTTACCATCACTGCCGATTTTGGGCTAACCGGCAGTGATCTCTTTTTCGCATTTTATTATTTTATAATTGTTTTTGTGGAATCAGGTTTTGCTTTATATTTGCTACGTAGACCGATAAATCCATCAACATTAAACATTATAAATGTTACGGTTACGGTTCAAATGTACTTATCAAGATCTCAAAATTACAATATTCTCTCGAAATTACAATAGTCTAGCGAGCCGCTCTGGTCCATACTGTGCCTTAAACTTCTTGGACTGTGCAATGGAGAATGTTCCTTTTCCCACATTTCTACTAGTTCATCAATCACTGGTTTCAGAAACATATCGATATCATTCCCAGGTTGTCTTGGCCCTTGGATCAATAGTGGTATCTGGATGTACGACCGCTCCATACAAAGCCAAGGTGGAAGGTTGTATATATAGAGCGTCACTGGTTAGTTGCTATGATTGCTTCTAACTTGGTCGAAAGGATTCGTCCCATCTGTGCTCAAACCAAATCAAAGGTGCCTTACCTCTCCACCGATGTTCTTATAGCACATAGTATTGACAGTCCTCCCATCCTTCCCATCGGCGGAGTGCCTCATCATTGTATCTTTCTTATGCTCTTCGTCATACCAATGTAACAGCTTGGCTGACTTTGTAGTTGTAAATAACCTATGCACCTGGGAAGCTATAAGGAAATACCAAATGAACTTTACGGGCCGTCCTTTAGTCTTGGTACCCTCATTTGATGGCCCTTCCTTGTACCATGGAGATTTACACTTGGGGCACGCATCTAAGTCTTTGTATTTGTTTCCACGGTACAATATGCAATTATTAGAACACGTGTGGATTTTTTGAACCTCGAGGCCGATGGGACAGATCATTTGCTTAGCTAGGTATGTCTTTTGAACCTCGGGGCACTGTGCGAACTCATGCCGGAGCCAGGAGATGAGAACTCCAGAAGTGCGAGCCCCTTGCTCGCCAAGCTCACGCCCAAGGAAGGCCTCCACTCGTGCTCTCCAGCCTTCTGACATGCACTGCCCGGTGACTGGGTTGTCGTGAATCCTCAGGCCTAGCATCTTCTTACAGTCCTGGAGCGTGACTCGTACTGCTCGGGGTTAGTAACAAATGGGGTTCCTCTCTCACGCCTCATTCTTTCGGGTATCTGATCCATAACCATCCTGTGCCTCGTCCTCTTCCTTGATCCACGCTTGTTCCAACGGTAAGCTGGATCCACAATGTACTTTGGCCCATCATATGGAGGCCACTGTCCAGGGTCCCGAAAAGGCACTAAGCGGGGGCTCCATGTGTGCACAAGTGTGTCGACACTGAACTCGTGAGGTATCCTGCTCTCGATATTATAGTTGCGATGCCTAGCTGCTGCCACCAAATGGGAACATAGAAAGTGGTACTGCCTTGGTTTACCATAAGTGCATTTGAAATCTTAGAGGACAACCACATGCATCCTCGACTCTCGAACCTCGCCGTCGGACGTTGTACCGCCCCTATGCTCGACCTGATAAGTCCCTGTTGCGTGGTCAAAGCATGTAACCTCATGTGTGCCAGCCCTTTCATTTGCCTTCTCTAGGTGTGCCTTTGGTTTCGGAGCCCATATCTCTCCATCACTCTGCAACTTGAATGCATGGGCGTGTCTATCGTTGAACCAGGCAACAAGCTTATAGAAGGTGAATTGAACGATTGCATTCACGGGCATACCACGTATCCCCAATAGCAACTTATTGAATGACTCTGCCATGTTGATGCACTAAAACTCGTACCTCCATCCACCGGTGTTGTGAGCTCTCGTCCATTTCTCCAAATCCCTCATCAAACCTATGAGCCATTGTCTACTATACGCATTTGATGTGGTTCTAACTTGCTCCAACTTTTTCTGAAAGTACTTGTCCTCAAGCTGTCGAGCAGCCTCCTAGAACAGATCAAAGTTACCCTTCACACCATCCTTTCAGAGTAGATTCTCGGCAAGGTGCCGAGTACACCAACGATGGTGCAAAGGTGCATACCCCTCTATCTGCTCTCGCATGGCATTAAGTATGCCCTGGTGCCTATCAGATATGACGCCAACCTCCCTGCCGGGGCCCAACCACGTGTATCCGGACTAGCCTCAAGAACCATCCCCAATTGTCATTGTTCTCCTTCTCAACCAAAGCAAATGCCAAAGGAACCAACTTATTGTTCGCGTCACAGGATATGACTATAAGAAGTGTGCCCTGGTATTTGCCAATCAAGAACGTACCATCAATGGAGAAGACGGGACAACAGTGCCTAAAGGCCTCGACACACTGAGGGAAGCACCAGAAAGCACGAAAGAATATCTGCATCCCATCCTTCCATGCATTTGGTTTTGGGATGTACTCATAATGCATGCCTGGATTCACCGCTTTGATTGCATTGAAAAGTACTGACAGCTGCTCGTACCCATCCTCCCAATCCCCATATATCATCTTCCACGCTCGCTGCTTAGCCCTCCAAGCTTTACCATAAGTTATCACATAACCTCCATACAACGCCTCAATGGTCCTGATAATTGTCCTCACCTTCATGTTGGGTTCTCCCTGCAATATTCCCATCAACCGCTTGGCAATGAGCGTAGATGTCAACTGCTGATGCCTCAATGTCAGCTCATGGTCAGCACAATTGTGTGGCCCGATAACTTTTGTGATCTTCCACTTTTTGGTGACCTTTTGCTTCCTTGCACAAACCCTCCATGGGCAGCGTTTCTTGTCACACACAACTACGTAACGGGCGCTCCGCATATGAATGCAAGACCTTGTAAGGTCTCTTTTGTATCCTTTGCAAATGCTCGCAACCATCTCTTCAATGCAGGGAGGTCCTTAAACACCCTCCCACTCTCAATTACCATGTTAGGGCCGGCCTCAGGAGCTTCTAGGAGCTCATCATCACGTCCTTCTGCACACGCCTGATCGAAATGAGCAAGATTGCTGAACTCGTGAACTCTTGGATCACAGCAACCAGGAAAGATACGCCTCAGCATCTCAACATCACTCTCTGTCAGCTCTCCAACAGGACGATCATCATCAGAATCAAGAGCCCTTGCCATCTCATATGGCTCCGAATCATTCATAATTTCAACACTATTGGAGCCACAAAATCCATCTCCACAGTGCACTTGCGCATCAACAGGGGGCACAACAACATTCTCAGGAATATCTCCTACAACATAAGCAGAGAAATGAGGAAAGAATGAAAGAAATGGATGTAAGGAAGGGGGTAAGCTCCCAATAACTATGCGGTTAAGACACTTACTCGGATGATTCTATGTCAAAGGGGTCTCATGAGGAGGATGCGCCACAACAACATGAGTTTGACAAGCATCTCCAACTACCGCATTGGGGCAGATTGAGCATCGGGAACCGTGAGGTGCAACCTCCACATCCATATCAGCTTCCATGACGGAGGGTCGATGTGTGTGCCTGCTGACCCATTGGTGGGAAAAACCCATGAGGGATGGGATCAACTAACACCTGACGCACAACCATGTCCAAACATTGCAGCTGGCTCTTCATAGCCGATCTCACATAGTTCTCCCACTGATCCGCACAACCAATTGGGATCATTCACCTGAGGATGTTGGGAGGAGAACTTAGGTGCAATACACCCTCAACTGCAATGCCATCATCTCCAAGGCAATGTAGATCCTGCCGAGCCCTTGCAACCATCTCACTAAATGAAGGCCTATCATT